TTTGAATTCTTTAACCGGAGGCCAAACATTTACATTTAAATGCAATAGTATTACCAAGAGAGTTTTCTTTCTATTTACGCGCAACCACAGTTAATCTAATAGAGGCGTTGCCTTAGTCAAGCTCAACTATAAAGGGAGCTTAGAGAATTACTTAATTAGGAAGAAGTAGCTTCCTTAACTGGGGCATCAGGTGTCGATAGTTTTGATTGAACTATCCTACGCACTTCTCACCTTAAAATAATTTAGTGGAACTTCGACATAAGGAAATACTATGCGATTGTTACTACGTGCTTCCTTAATTGGGGCATCAGGTGTCGATAGTTTTGATTGAACTAGCCTGCGCACTTCTCACCTTAAAATAATTTAGTGGAACTTCGACATAAGGAAATACTATGCGATTGCTACTACGTGCTTGTTATGATCACGTCATGACTTAATTTTTTCCACATTTTTTTTCACGTAAATGAGTACTCTTTGTTTTAAGGATTTCATGTCTCTTTTATCGCAGAAAAAATCTCGTTCTCACCTTAAAAAGCGATGGAACAAAAAAAAAAAAACTTCTGAATACCAATCCTTGATGACATTATCGTGTATAAATAAAGGTGTTTAAAGCTGAACAGCTTGCGGGGTCGTGTGTAAATCTAAATAAACTCTAATTTAAATAAATTCAAATGATGATGGTTTTTGAGAAGAGGGGAAAACCGGAGTACCCGGAGAAAAACCTCCCGGGGCAGAGTTCCAACAAACTCAATCCACTTATGACGCCGGGTCTGGGAATCGAACCCGGGACACATTGGTGGAAGGCGAGCGCTCTCACCACTATGCCAACCCTGCGTACTCCTCATAAGGTACAATGTAGGCGGAGGCGTTTTGATTGCTATCAGAGACAATATTTCATCCCTACGTCGCCGGGATATAGAAACAAATTGTGAGCTTGTGGTTGTTGAAGTCAATCCGACGAAGGCCAATAAGTTCCTTCTTTATGGCTTTTACCGTCCTCCGTCGGCTAATAGCGAATATTTGCTGGAGCTCAAACAATCTCTGTCACACGAGGAATTGAACACCCCACTTTTCCTCTGTGGTGACTTTAATTTTCCTGATATCAACTGGAACTATCAAGCAGCTCCGGGCTTACTAGATAATCTTCCAAATATGTTTTGCGATATCGTCAGTGACACGTTTCTAACACAGATGAATCATTCCACAACAAGAATCACAGATAACACATAGAATATTCTTGACCTCGTTTTTACTAACCAACCCGAACGTGTATGTGAAATGGCGACATTCGATTGTCAATTCGCCACGGATCATCTTGGAGTCGCTTTCCTTATTAAAACCAAAGTCAAAAGAGAGCGTGTTGTTCGTTATGCGTACGACTTTAAGAAAGCTAATTTTGATGCGCCGAGACAAGCACTCTCAGTTACTTCTCTAGACATGGGGTTTGATGAAAGTGATGTTGATCAATGTTGGGAAAGTTGGCGTGATTTATTCTTGAATGCCGTTGAGTCGTATATACCAAAGATCAAGCTTAAAGATGCGAAATCTCCAAGATGGATTGATGGTGAAATTGTCAAACTATCAAGGAAGAAGAAACGACTATGGAAACGAGCAAAACAGTCTAATTCGGCCGTGCATTTGGACAATTACAGGTCAATACGTAAACAAATCAAAACCGCTACGAAACGTAAATACCGTGAATAAAGGCTGATAGTTTCTAAAGAAACTGTTTGGGGCTGCGTCGGTGGGGGTAACAAAAGGTAGACAAAGGTAAGACAAAGGTAAGACAAAGGTAAGACAAAAGGTAGACAAAGACCTCACTGCCAGCAATCAAAACACCGTCAAGAATACGATCAACCAACTCATAACTAAACAAGAATTGCCGGCCACAGCAAAAAATCTCATCATAACCACTCCTAGAACTTCTTGTATTTACTTTTTACCTAAAATTCACAAACCTAACAACCCGGGTCGGCCCACTGTCTCGGCTTGCAGCTGCCCCACCGAACTTATCTCCAGCTATCTATACAAAATTATGGCTCCCATCGTCAAAACTTTATCATCATATATTAAAGACAGCCAACACGCTCTTCAAATTTTTCGCGACTTTAATTTCCTTGGCCAAAACAAACTTCTTTTCACCATGGATATTACGTCTCTTTACACTGTTATTCCTAATAGCGAAGGCCTTCTGGCCCTTAAACATTTTTTTGATCAACTACTGTTAAGGAACCTAAATCTGAAACACTACTACGCTTAGCCGAACTAGTGCTCACGCTCAATTGTTTTTCATTCGGGTACAACTTCTTCAAACAAACCAATGATGTCGCCATGGGCACCAAAGTGGGACCTAGCTATGCCAATCTTTTTGTAGGTTTTGTCGAACGCCAATTTTTCAGCCAATACAACGGCTCCAATGAAATCTGAACTCTACGGTCGCTACATCGACGACTGTATTGGCGTTACCTCCTCTACCAGAGAGGAGCTGACTCAATTCATAACCGCAGTCAATTCTTTTCACCCGGAGCTGAAATATACCTGGGAAATTTCTGACAAGTCTTTATCCTTTTTAGACATCAAAGTTTCAATTGAAGGCAACGGTTTATGCACTAGTGTGTATTACAAGCCTACAGACTCGCATAATTACTTGTTATATTCGTCTTCGCATCCATCTCACGTTAACAATTCCATTCCTTTTTCTCAGTTTCTAAGACTTCGTCGTTTATGTAGTGATGACTCTGATTTCCACCACAAATCAGAGTCAATGTGCCAGTTTTTCGATAAACGTGGTTACCCTGTTTCTGTCGTTCAAACGGGTTACCACCGCGCCCAACTTATTGATCGACATTCAGCACTACAAACGTCGCATAAGGATGATTCCAACCGAATTCCATTCACTCTCACGTTTCACCCGCACAACCACTCAGTCAAATCCATTATTCTTAAAAACTTTAAATTACTTCAAAACGATCCAGAGACAAGCACTATCTTTTCGCAGCCTCCGCTCATTTCATTCAAACGCGACAAAAACATAGGCAATTTTTCGGTCAGAAGTTCTTTTCAGACTGATGACCAACTAGGCACTTTTAAATGCAATCGTGCACGATGCAAAACGTGTCCTTTCATTCACAACACTGATAAAATATCGGGACCCAAACGATCCATGAAGATCACCGATCACTTCAGGTGCACCTCCGCCAATGTAATCTGATTGCATAACTTGCACTTATTGCAAAAAGATATACATCTGCGAAACAGGCAGAAGACTAGGTGACCGATTCCGAGAACACCTTAGCGACGTGGAAAAGAATGACAAGGACACATCGAAACCAGTCGCTAGGCACTTTAATTTACCTAATCATTCTAAGCAACATATGGCAATCTGCGGTCTTTCCTTACACTTAGGTAGCACGGAAAGCCGTCAAACTCTTGAACAAAAGCTCATCTTTCAAACCGGCAGTCTAAATCCCACAGGGATCAACGAACGCTTTTCATTCCACTAATTTATTCGTGTTTTTCTCGTTGCCATGTTCCCACCAATAACGTAGCTCCATTTTCTGCCTTTAAAAGCACACACAACCCACAATTCCTCTATTCGCTCCGACGAAGGGCTAACGCTCGAAACGTCAGCTTTTGTAATCGTTACGGTGGCCAATTTACCATTTCAACTTTGTTGATATATCCAAATTATTTCGTTACTCCCACCGACGCAGCCCCAAACAGTTTCTTTCGAAACTATCAGCCTTTATTCATTTGTTAA